TGGGCGTTGTGTCCCTTACATTTGCTCACTGTCGACCGTGTGCCCCGTGGCCTGCAGGTTGTCAACAACAGTGGCTCCTATGAGGCCATTGTGGTGCTTCCTCTGTCAGTCGCTAACAGGACTCATGCGCTGAAGATTCCAGGCAGCAATCCATTCAAGCCTGAGATTTGCCCGAAAGGAACATTCTGTGGGCCAGATGAGTTCAACCCTTGCCCGAAGTGCCCCCCTGGCACATTTTCTGGTGAGGAAGGCAGAAATTTGTGTCAGGAATGCAGCAGTGATGAATATGCAGACCGTGGGGAAGGACAGACTGAGTGCAACCCTTGTCCAGGTAGGGGAAGGAATGCCACAGCAGTGGGCACCCTCACACCACTGACCTGAATGCAATTGATGATCCTTTCATTCCCATTCATCAGTGAAAAGTCCAGCCACATTTCGCATCGTTGACTGCCCAGTGCATCCGTGCATCCTCTGGCCACTGATTTGAGGGATAAGAATAACCTGCCATTGTTCTGTAAAGTGTGGAGTATTTGTCAGGCAGTCCACTGATGGACAGTTTTTGTGGGTGCAGAACACACAGAAAGGAGGGCTGGTGGTGGCTTCGACTTTTGTGAGTTTAGAGACAGCCACGGTTCTATTTTCTGTGAAAGCTGCACCCTTGATCTTGGGGATGAAAACATCACATGCCTCAACTGCGAAGGTCAGCACTTGGACTGGGGCTGAGCCCTGTGGTTTATGCCCCTGCTGTCCGCTATGGCATCATTGGTGCTTCGATGAAACCTGGAAGTTCATGTCCTGCATGCTTGAAGCAATGTGCTATTCCAGATCTGCTGTTCCACATTCTGATGACCATGCTTCTGTTGCTACTGTTGCAGAGACAAGCAGCGGGGCTCGAGCTCGGGGTGTGTCAATTTGTGACTGTGAATGTGTTCCTGGATTTTATGACCCTCAGAGAAGGGCTGGGAAAGATTGCCAGAATTGCCCAGATGGGGCTGAATGTGAAGGCCATCGCGAGTTGCCATACCCCCTTGCTGGGTACTGGGGAAACAGTAGTTTCAGGTATTTTTCACAGTATCCGAGGCGTGGAGCAATGCAGACTGTCGCCCCAGGCTTGTTGGCTTTGTTGAGGTGTTCCTATTTCCCCATAAGTGTGAGTGCTCCGAATCCAGAAGGTTCTGAAATGGTACAGAATTGCATCTACAACAATTTGCGCAGGCCAGCTTAAGGCATACCAGGCGCTGGAGTGTAGGGCTCCAGGAGTGGAAACTGGCTTTTTGGGAATGCTTGTTGTCTGTTGATGTCACCAAATCGACAATTTTGTCCACTTATGTGCACGAGAACGACATGTTTCAGCTGATGAAAGTATCATCGAATTCCCTGTGGTGTGAGTGAAGTAGTGGCTGGGACCGAAATGTGCCTTGCAGTGCCCTGCAATGTTCTGTTGGCCTCAGTGGCATGCCTTTGCTGGTCAGTTGAACGTCCACAGTGGCACTTGACATTATTGTGCACGGCGTTCTCCCAAAAGTGTCGTTCTTTGTTGCAACTTTGAAATGGAAATATGGAGGGATTCTTCTCGGCCTGCCACCTTATCTGTTGTGCTTGGGTGGATAGCCACTTATCTGGTGCTCTGCTCCGAAAACACTGATACTGACTTGGGTGAATCGATACACCAAATCCAGCTTTATGTATGTCGCACCAACTGGATGCTTGTGACCATCGATGTAACAATGCTCAGCTGCCAGGACCACTGGGGACATCTGAAATGTCCCCAGTGCCCATCCCTGCTGCATTCAACCCCTTTTCCTGGATTACAATTGCATGTGATTTGAAGTCCGATTTCCAGCAGCAAATTGCTGTGCATAATAGTGAATAGGCTGCCAGTGCATATTGTGTCAGGAGTGTGTGCTGTGAAACCATGGCCACTGGTCCTGTTGCTGTTTGTGGATACTGTGGCTTTGGATGTTCCTACCAGATGCAGCTATGATGTGTTTAAAGCCTGGTATACATTCTGTCAGCAGGAAGGAGATGTATGTCTGCGATCTTCCCAAAGCTTGCAAGGGTGGGAGAAATTTTTCTGATCTGTGTGCAGAAGAATATACAGGTCGTCTCTGTGCTGATTGTCAGTCAGGGTACTTTAAGATCGTTGAACACTGCTTTGGATGCATGTGAGTGGTAATTTGGTGGCGCAGTGCTTCCAAAGTGAGACTTTTGTCTTGGATTCAGTCCTGATAGATGTTGCGGTTGTGCATGAATAAGGCAACACCCCTGTCACCTTATCTTCTTACATTGCAACCCCAATGGTTGTCCAGGGATTTTATGTGCCATGTGATGCTGTGATCATGGAGGGAAATTGCCCTTCACTCCTCACTGGTGTTGTCCTTGATGCTTGTTCCCACATGTGTCAGTTTCTATTTCCCAACAGCAGTGCACTTCACCGTCCTCAATACACCAAAGTACTGCAAGCAAGAATGCTGCATGCCTTCTATGCAGCTGTTGCTGGGTTGTTCCGGTTTCAGGCATAGGTCCCATGGATGCATGCAAACTCCTGTGCATACTGCGCTCACTGGCTGGCATGTTGTGTCAGCACAGAAGCACAGCCTCCACACTGATGCTCATGGTCATCGTATTTGCCATGTGGCTCATCATCAACTCAGTTGTTGCTCTTCGGGTTGAAACTGTTGAGTTGATGCTGAATTTCGTGCAGCTTGCAAACATCATTGGATCATTGCCTCTGGAGTGGCCCAAGTCCCTCAGGCAGGTGAGTCACACAAACAACCATACACTGGGCAATTGCATGCTTTCCAACTGCCATCCAGAGGAGCATCCCCCCTTCATCAAGATGGTCAGCCGCTCTGCCTGTTTGCACCCTTGCACTTCAGAGAACCAGGATGATTGAATTCAATGTGACTTTGTTAGAATCCACTATTCTGGTTGAAGGTTGTGGCTGGCTTTGCAGGTGTTTGGTGTCGCAAGTATCTTGGATTTTGATGTTGATGTTGTGGAGCCAAGCTGCTTTGCATCCTGGTCATTCAGCAACAATTTCTTTGTGCAACTTGGCCTTCCCATAGTGATGTCTTTTTTGGTGAGTGTCCATGCACTGTGCTTGCTGGTAACGTTGTCATTGCAGCATGCTACGAGCACGCACATGCATGTGCTGCACGTTAGGGAATCTTGGTCAAGCAATGGTGCAACTAGCACGCTGTCCAATAGATATTTTCTCTGGTTGCCATTGGCATGGCGGCTGTCCGTTCACTGTAAATTGTTCAGTAAGTGGGCTTGAGACCTGCTATTGCACAACACAGATCTAGTTCTTCAAATCACATTGCAGTGCTCATACATGCTGGCCTACAGGTGATTGTGGACGTGCCCAATTCCATTGATTATGCTCTTGTTAGAAGGTGGGCCAGCCTGCACCTGTATTTGGCACTGTCAATTGCAAAATCACTGTGCACCATCTTTGCCTTCTTATCTGGTGTTATGTGCACTTGTGTGGTTTTTCCACCTTGTCCTGTACAGCACTCCGCATTTCAATTGCCCAGGATGGCCCCATGTGTGTGAAGAAAGGCCATGTCCACACTGAAATTATTGATCCAGTTGCCCTATGTCACTGTTTGTGCATGCGAGCAGGCGCTGCTGTGGTTTCTGCTTGGAGTTCTGAGATTTTACACGTCAAAGTGGTACTTACAGGCACATAACCACTTTGTGAAGTGGTTTCGTGCTGCCACTGTGTATCAATGGGATGTCCGCAAAGCAAGCTTTCGTGGGGAAAGTTTCATATCTACGGAGTTTGACAAGTTTGTGGCACAGTGCATGGCTGCCATTGAGGTGACCTACCTGACTACAACAAGGCAAGTTGACACTATGGCTTGCTGCTGTCGATTAATATGGATGCCATCTTTGCAAGCCCTGAAGCCAAGAGTTGCAGACTGTTGCCTTATTTGAACTGTCAATGGTGCATGATCTGTTCATCCCTGTTGGGCACTGTCATGGCCCATTTGGGCACTATCAGTTTTCATTAGGGTACTGTTATGGCCTGTGTGCTTTCCAAACCCTTGCTGCGCTTTTGTTGCTGGCAAAGTTGTGGCTTCTGCCTGAGAATGCAGATTGAGCTGTGCATGTTTCTACAAGTGGGCTGTGGAGGCCACCTGCACGCCTACTTTTGTCACAGTGATCATCAACTGGCTGGCTGGCAATGCAGCTTTGGTGTGCAGGGATAGACAACTCTGGTCACACCACGATTGTTGTGTTGACTCCTCCCTTTTTGCAATGCCACTCAGGTACTGTTTGGATGCCTTGGCTTGCACAGATGTGGCAGGAGTATCTGTCTTGTCAGCATCTCCGGAAACTGTATGCGGTTCAGAGCAACATGAGATCTTGCGTGGATTTGCAATTGCTGGGCTCATTCTCTACACCGGAGGCTACCTGGTGTTCGTTGTCTTTCAGCTTGCAGCCATGCAGCAAACAAAGAGCTTCAAGCTGCCCAGCAACATTAGACGTTATGGCTTCACCTATGAAAGGTTTGAGCTGGAGTATGCTTGGACAGCAATTCTGAGTGAGTGGACTGTGGCAATGAGGACCCTCTGTATTGTTAGTGCAAATGTAGCATGGTTTTCGGCACTCTGCCTTCACTTCTGGTTCATGTTTCCTGGTGTGGAACTGAGTCTCACCATCGTGTTGCTCTTGGGACGATGCCCAATGTCTCTGGTGTTGCTCTTTGTTTCTCCAATGAATCCTCAAGGAACATTTTGCACACAAGCCATCACACGTTCAGGAACACTTGTGCTGCTGTGCAAGGCAACAACTCCGTCAAAAAATGCATGTATCTATGCGCAGCATCCTTACGGTAGGGTTGTTGAGCCTTGTGCCTCCATTCAGTTGATGCCGCTGTGCGTTTATGCTATTGCAAATATATGCTGCCTGGCATCCAGTGTACAAATCGCAGCACAAACATGACGCCATCGTGTCAAAGGCTGATGGGCGCAGTTTCTGTGCTTGCACAGCCCTGCTTGTCAGGATCTTCTTTGTTGCAGCCATGGTCCTTGTGCGCAACCCACTCTCGGCAGTAGGCATCATCGCGGTTGTTACCATGGTTTGGCTGTTTGTTCATGTGTACACCCTACCCTACGTGAAGGATGAGCTCGACTTGCTCCAGAGTTTCTTCCTGGTTTGCCTTGCGGCATTTGCAATGAGCGGCCTCATGTTCTCTTGCAAGAATTTGCCCAGCACTGCAAGGACCATCCTGACAGGGGGAGTGCTTGGCCTAGTCTTCATCATGTGCACCATAACCTTTTTCTTCTTCTTGATGGAGATTTTCCAGAAGATCTGCATATGGGTAGGTTGCCACATAGGCACTGTTTGTGTGCTCTCATGTCGTTTTCGTTGGTAGGAGAACGTATTTGTCCTTTCCAGCATGGCCAGCAGCCGCATCAAGTTTCGTGGGGCAGTGATCGGGCTGCGTTGTATAATGGCTTGCCTTCCTCACAGAGTGGGTAATAGGGTTCGCTGGCTGTTGCACTGCCCGACGCCCACACAGTGTCGAAGGCAAGCCACGATGCCATTGGGCCCGATTCACAACCCAATTTGGTTCCGTCCAGATTGCAAATCTGGTTGTATTGACGAATCTGCGATTTTTTGAATGCTGACAAAATGACCTACTGTCTGTGCTGTGGTCCAAAGCCACATGTCCATGTTGGGAGGTCATGCCTGCCCGCTGTTCCTGTTGGGCTTACATTGAGGTATTTCCATAAATATGACGACAGAATCTGTTGCATATAGGCTATCAAGAGACGACACTGGAAAGCAGTGGCGGTGGCTGTTGCAAGTGGACAGTTTCTGGTGCATGGTGCCAACCCAAGAGGAGATCATCGCCACATGGAGCTGTACACCACAATAGATTCCACCTTTTTGTACAGGTGGCTGAGATATGCCGATCAGAGGAAGCTGCTGCAATTCGACCGTCTGGCCGCCATGCTTGGCAATTATCTTTGTGATGACGCCCACTGCTCTTACCTCTCCCTTGAAACAGCAGCCAAGTTTTGGAGAAATCTGGCACTGGCCTTCCCTGAGGTGATTCCAGCTACTGCATCGTTGCTAGATGCCGAAGGCAGGCTTGGTCTTTACGTTTGTGTTTTTACGAACGAATACGTGATTTTGCAAAGGGGGTATTTTCGCGGCTGTGTTTACGTTTTTGCCGCTTGTTGTGGCACCCAGGCTACACGGTGAAAAATCGTGTGCAATGATCAGTCCTCGTGCCCCTAAAGCACCCACAACATAGCGTCCACCTCGCCCTCGGCAAAGGCAACGACGGCGTGGAACAAAAGTTCGCCTTCTGCCCATTTCAGGGCTGGCTGCCACTCCTAGGACCCCCTGAGTTTTCATGTGCTGTCCTTATATTCACGGAGTCGTATTTGCGTATTTATACGCCCTTTTACGCATAGCAATGTTTAGAAACTATTTTTACGCGTAAATCCCTAAGTACGATCAGATTTTTCGGCGTACAAACCAAGCCTGCCCTAAGGAGTGCTAAATCTTTGTCATGTTTGGAGTTTGGATTGTTTAAAGATACTGCCTTTATTTCAAAGTCTTGTCAGTTGCCCACTCGGTCCAAACGAAGGTCAAAAAGAGTCAGTCAGAAAATTTGGCCAAAACAAGTTAGCACCGTACTGAGATCTACGATAGAGCCCTCCCTCAAACGTAGCGCACAAGATTTTCATTCTCACGACATGCCGAAAGGAGCTTCAGAGGCATTTTCCCTTATGGTGGGACCTAATACGGGCAGTGGCAAGCTCGTCTTGCCCTTCTGTACAGATGTGTTGAGTTGAGCTACTCCTAGGAGAGATGAAGGACTTGGTGGTTGAGTATTCGAGAATGACGCGGCTGGATTCCAGACAGATTCCGCAGCGCAAAGTTCTTTTCTGGCCAAACCAGAATCTGCCAAGGAATCCGAGATTCAGATTCCGAATCTGGCGACATATTGGCTAGTTGAGTTGATCTTTCGTAGTTATAGCAAGATTGGATAACAGGCACGAGTTTTGAAACGGAGGTAGAATGGCTTGCATTTCCGGTTCAAGTCGACAACAATCACTGCCCCGAAGGCAGTGATTCTTGTTGAACCGACCAGGAAATACAAATCGTATCTCCCGTGCGATTCGTGGAGATAATTGCCTGCATTCCCGACTCATGGTGCCCTGTCGGACGACTATGCTTGAGAGCTGCTGGACTCAATTTTAGTTCTAATTCCAAACGACTTGAGTCAGTGAGCTTCCTTTTGCACAGGATAATGCAACAGCGGAAATGTGCACCGCCACTGAACTCTGTCTGGCATGTTTGATTGAGGACAGACACTGAAGACGCGATGTGTGTTCTTGCACGACAGCTGATTGACTTTCTGGCCATGTCGAGCGAAGAAGACCGTGGCCAGTTTGTGCACATTGTCGAGGTGCTGTACCGCAACTTCTTCCTGACCAAGCAGATTGGAGAGGACAACCTGTGGAGTCACATCGACTGGAAGGACAGGGCCGCGCTCATGCAGTGGCTGGCGATTGCCTCCCAGGAGGAGAGGCAGCTGTTTGGGTCAATGATTGCGGATGGCGTGCGCCACAACACCGCGGATGCTGCTGGGGAGCGTCTGGCCCGCAAGGTGCGCCTCATGTCCACCGGCTTCCACGTTCGGTGCAGGTGTTCAGTCACGGAAGATGGGCATCTGCGTTCCAGGCTGAAACTGTGCTGCCCGAAAACGGCTTTTATTTTGCCCAGCTGGGAAAGACGATGAGTGCTTCATTGCGAGCTGTGCAAACTTGCTGACTCTCCGGTGTGCCCTCGCAGTTGGAGCAGCACAGCAGGGGCAGCTATGTACCAACGGTTGATTCTGCTTCACCAGGCCGTCGTGGGATTCTACAACGCACACTAAGCACGTTATCAAATGCTGGTGCCTCTCGATCGGTGTGGAGGGAAATCAGCTCAGGGCGAGGGCCGTTCCCCCGCACGAGCCTCTATTCAATTCGTGCCGGCAGTGGCGATTTGTTGGCTGCTGATGGCGACCGCAGTGCACCGGACTTTACTCCAAACGATTCGAGCAGTCGCATGGGACTGCTGGCTTCCGCACGGAAATCAAAAAGCGGCCTGAGCGACTCTGAACGGCAACAAAAGGGGAAGGAAGATGCCCCTATGTAGCGCAACGTCCGTTGCAAGAGCTTGTAGGCTTGGTGTTTTTCCGTCGTTAGTTGCAGGATAGCTCTTCAGTCATTTTGACACCCACTTCGGATTCCTTGGTCGATGGTCGAAGTGTCTCGATGGTAAATTCCTCCCTGTGCTGCATCATTTGTTCGTCATTGTGTTCCGTCTGTTAGATGTCTGATTCGAAGAGTGACACCTACACTTTACGACAAGGAGCCGTGTTTGCTCCTTGGTCATACGCCACACGAACATCTGCTTGGATCGAGACTGGCTGCACTGCTCAACAACAAATGAGCAGTCGCACGGGCGCATTTCGTTAGTGCACGCATGAATTGGTGTGGTGTCTTTTGCTCAACAATTTTGGTTAGGGCGTGCGGAGCGGAGAGCGGGGGCGCGATCTCGAGCTGCAATGGAGATCACTGATGCACGACCATCAATTCATGACAAATTCTTGGCGAATTCAGTCAGGAAAGAGGGCCAATCTTGGCCATCATCCACCACCCACGCCTGGGTGCATGTTGCTTGCTATTCATTCACTGCGAGGTGCTTTTGCCGGGCCACACTGTGAGATTCTGCATCAGCTTATCGCAGCATGGAAAAGAGCCTCATACTTACTTGCTTAGGGAGGGAAGTTCTTGTTTGACCTGTCGTATTTTTTAGGTGTAGCAGATATTACCCCCAGCCCGTGTTGTCAATTTGGCGCTGCGGATACCCAAATCGACGTAGTTTGTTCCCTCGTGTCAAGCATTGTTGAGATTCCATTGCTGTACTTTAGGGTAGATCTCTGTAGTGAACGACAATATTGTGAGGGTTCCGGCGAAAGTGCTCCATCCAACTGGGGTTACCGCAGCGCACCCTCCCCCGTCGCACCCTACTCGACGCCTGTGGCCCCGTGTCCTACTTTGGCCGCCTCAGCACAGCGCCACCAAGCGCCCTCCCTGCGCATCCAAAGCAGCTTCTTGTCTCCGCTGCTTTTGAACGATGCGCAACACCCCGGACACGCCACTCACACAATGCCAATGCAACCGCTTGCCCAACCAAGATGGTCAAAGAAACACCCGCCACTGCCACTGCCGGGCCCACAGGGCCGTGGCATTGTCGTCCGGACTACTAGTGGAATGCGTGACATTTTCCCAGCTCTAGCCTGTGGACTTGCGCCCAAGGTTTGAGCATGCCGAAGACAGAACCGCCAAGAACGCGATATCCTACACGGGTGCAACTGCGGGTATCAAAGAGCACGTGTGCAACGCCTTCACACACCACAAAGGTTGCTTTGGCCTCTTTCCGGCTCGTTTTTTGATTGCGATGCTGTCATGCAGTGTCTTAGCATCCACTGGGCCCTATTGGCGAGACACCTAAAGATTACCAAAATCGGGATGTGTTTTCCCCAACTTCACAGCGAAACTCAGACTGAGAAAGCAGCTTCAAAGTCGCTATTCCCCATAATCTAAAGTTCGAAATTGCGAGAGCGTCAACTAAACAGCCTTAGCTTTGAGCGCGTTTCAGATTCAAGTTAATGAAATCAGATTTGAAGCCCGAACTCTCTCGGGATTTTGAGCAGACCGAAATTGTCTCAATACATCAAAGCTCCCTTCTCAAAAGCAATATCTTTAAAAGCAAAAGTTGACTGGAAACGACTGGAAACGAAACCGAAACTGAAAAGTCTCGGCTGCGCTGCCGCCGCATTTTCACAGGGTACGGGCTCTCGCTCCCGCTGCCTCCCTCGCACCCGAACTGTAGGCGGTTCTCTCCAAACGCCGCTTCTCCGAAGCAACCGCCCGGCCGTCGGCGTCTGCCCTGCTCGCAGCGCCGGCGCTGCATCAAGTCGTGTCTTGCTGATTCAATCAAAGATTCGTGGCGGTGTTGCGTGTCCAGCCGTTCGGTTTCGCGCCCGGTCGCCTCCAAGACGCAGCAGAGGACATCCCCTGCTCGATCTTTTGTCCTGCAAATGGAAAGGGAGCGCGCCAAGGCCTTGGGCGCTCCGCTCTCGAGAACTCCACCCGGGCGGCGAGGGTCCTGGCGGCGATGAGGTCGACTTGGGTCTGTGAATGTGCGCTGCCATCACTCGCGTTTGCGCATCGGAGCAGGTCTGCGCCATTCTGGCTCAAGGCAGCCCTGCTCTGAGGCAGTGCCTTGATTCTCTTCTCTGAGGCGCTTCTGGAGGCACTCCCTGGGCCTTTCCTCGAGCCACTTCGTTGACCCACTTCTTGGACCCACTCCTTTGAGTCTCGTCGCGTTAACGCAAAGTGGAGATGCCGGGACGAACCGCCGGTCGTCTTTGCCTCTGGCCATTCCCCATCCCGTGCTCCCCGGCGCGTAAACTTGCCCTTGCGGTGAAGCTAGGAAGGTGACACCAAGCGACGGCCCAAACGACAAAGGAGAAGCGATTGAGGGCGCTGGCCACACTGAAACGACCCAACTGGAGTCAGGAGCCGGGTTTTCGCCCCAGGCCGCGGCCTGAGCCACCCCAACCACACAGTTTTCCCAATTCTCCCATTGCGAATGGCACGCTCGCCAGGGTTGTTCCAAACAGCACCCCTCGAAATTCACATTGAAAACACACCCTCCTGCCGGCCGTCTCAGAGTCTGCACTGCGGATCGCGCTGCCGGGTTGCCGCCGCCACACTGCCACCGGTTGCTTCGCAAAACTTGCGCGCACAGAACTCAGTTATGTGCACGCAAACTGGCCGTGCATCCATGCTCAGAGCGTGGACCTCGCGGAGATACGGCCCCAGGTGTGCGGGCGACCGGCACCTTTGGCCTTGCGCATGGGAACCGCCCCTGAGGACAGCCGCCAGCGACGTTTTTGGCGGCTGGGCATGAGGCTTGTCGCTGGTGGCGCCGCGCAAGGAGCGTCGCGGTGCAGCGAAGTGCAGTGCAGCGCAGGGGCGCAAAAGAGGGGCAGTAAAAAGAGAGTTACGACACCGGGACTTCCCGAGAGATCCCTCATCTCAGTACTAATCCGGCCCAATGGTGCTTAACTTCCGAGTTCTGATGGGGTCGGGTGTGTTCACCATGGTGTGGTCGTAACTACTAGCACTTATTGCATGCAAGTTTAAATAAGCTTCAAAGCAAGTTTATATGCAATTTCAAGCAGGGGCAAGCCTAAACACGTTTTAAATATGCTTTGAACTATTGGCGCAAAATGTTTGGAAATTTAAATATATTTTGATAAGGGTTTTGACGAATATGGCCATCAAGAAGCTGCCAAACTCTTTCCAGGTCGCCTTGCATGCTGCAAGATGCATCATATGCCGTTGGACGAAGCGGTCATATCCAGCACGCGGGCAAGAAGCGCATCATTACGTCAGCCCTTGCTCATTACTGTTTCCGAGCCGTGTTCCTCTCTGAAATTCCATTCGCCTATGGTTGCAATGTGGTGCAAATATGAAACAGGCCACAGCGGAACGGCTGCGGCCTGATCGCCGAGAATAATTCCCAAACAACTGTCAATAAGCGTGAGAGCAAGGGGGTGAGACTCTGGAGCTCTGAATAATTGGAATTCGAAGTTTGGGAGATGAGCAACATGCATCAGCGCATAACATGTCAAGGAAAGGGGTAATTGTGGTTTGTGTACACAAAGCCCCGATCTTCCTCTGGCCCTCCCAGTGCATATTTCTTGATCTTCATGGTGTTTGTGCTGTGCGATACTTTTCTTGAACCGGAGACAGTGCATTACCTTTATGTATAGCATTGGCAAGTTTCTCCCGCACACCTACCCAGGAGGGGCTGCCCTTTGTACAAACTTTTGTAGTCTTACCTATCTCTCTCCGAAGTGTAACACCTCTTGCCCATTCTTCAACTCCTAACATCAATCCCTATGTCAATGCCTTCGCACTTTTTGTGCATGGTGCATTACAATGCAAGTACTTTATGACATTATAACAACATTCCGCCCATAGTGGATGCCCGTGCCAGATGGTTTGACGCAGCACACCTTCCGCTCGTGCGCACAACGCAAATATATTTTGAGATCAACTGGAAAGTTGTGTACACAATGTGCGCGCGCAGCTTACCGTTGCATCGTTGTTGATGATAGCAAACAACTATCTTGGGGCTATGTCCATTCTTTTGGTGCCAGTTCAGTCCTAAGTTAGGACTCCTAACCGCACCTGCACCTGAACGCAGTCAACACATCAACATTGCATGAATGCATCAAGTCGCATTAAACCAACAAAGAATCGTTTGTGTTCAAAAGACTTGTTCCTTGTTCGTCCATGCCGGGTGAGGCAGGGCAACCTTCTCCACCAAAAAACAGCCACCGTCAATTCCTTATGCAGCCCCAAAGTGTGCAATCAATGTCGCCTGAAAAGTGACAAAAAACAATGCAAAATTTCCTCCCTCGTCTTGCAGCTCCTCCTTGCAAAATAAAAAATGACCAACAACTGGTGTGGCAGGCAAAAACCAGGGCTCAGCCTGGGTGAGACTTCTTGATGAAAGACCACATCCTAGCCAATGGGTTCCTTTTCTTGGACTGGCCATGTGCAACGCCTGCAGCGTCTGCCCAACCAACGGATGCTCATTGCCCAACGCCTTCTTCCGAATGTCGAGGGCCGCTTGAAGCATGGACTCCCTCTCTGAGAGGCGGCCCTGCTTCTCGTAAACGGAGGCTAGGTTCTTCAGGCTCCTGGCCACCTCCGGGTGGTCCCTCCCCAGCATGGCCCTCCTGATGTCCAGGGCCTTGAGGTGTCCTTCCTCCGCCTCTTCCAGCTTGCCCATCCTCTCGAACACCGC